GGATTTAGGTCAGGGGATCGTGGAGGCCAGGCGACTGGTCCTCCACGGCCGATCCATCTTTCTGTATAATTTTCGTCCAGCCAGTTTCTAACTATTCTCGAATAATGAGCTGGACAACCATCAAGCTGGAACCAGGCCAGTCTTCTTAAATCTAACATAACATCATCCCACATATTTGCATGTTCAGCCTTTAAAAATTCCAAGGTCGCAGCATTTAACCTTGCAGGCAAAAGGTAGGGTCCAAATAGTCAAAAACGGTAGATACCAGTCCACACGTTCACACTAAATTCATGCTGAAAATTTCTTTCACGAACTGCATGCGGATTTTCATGCGACCAAATATGTTGATTATGAAAATTAACCCTCTACGTCTAGTGAAGCATGACTCATCGGTCCATAAAACGTTACTTAAAAACTCCCCATTATTATCAGTTCTATCAAGAATCCACTGACAAAATGTGATTCTTCGTTCTCCGTCCCCTGGCTGTAGTCCTTGCACAGGTTGCAAATGGTAAGAACGTCTATGGTCATTTCTAAGAACACGGTGAACATGGCTTGCTGAAATTCCCAAGGCACCAGAAACTCTCCTAACACTTGTGGTCGGATCTCTATCACACTCACGCAGAATCATACGGGTAAATCTGCGCTGACGAACATTTATGTTTTGACCCCTTTGGAGATTTCCAAAACCATTTTCAATTATTTGGCGATGCACTCTTACAAATACTGAGCGAGTTGGATGTCGTCTGTATGGAAATCTTCGTGAGTATTCTCTGGCTGCTTCTACTGCGTTTCCATTTACAAAGCCATACACAAAATGAATATCCGCTAACTCTTGATTGGAGAATAAAAATGGCATTATTATAAAACTTACAAAAAAAACAGGTAAAAGAAACTAAGTTTCGTGCATTCACAATTGCAAAAAAACGTTTCAGGTTTCAACAGACAACAAAACTAACTGTCAACTAATTGACGTTTAACCTTATTCTACTTTCAATTTCAAAAATATTTGCAGGCTCAGCCTACTTCTACAAATTATCGAGATACTGACTTTTTCACGTTATTTTATCATAAATGATTAAAAATGCATCGAACCTTACAAATCGAAATATCTCAAAAACGGCTAACTATAACGAAAATTCACAAGAGAGCTTTTTTATGCTGAAAAGTGCGAAGAATCAGTTTTTTTATTCAACAAGCAAAAAATTGCACTAAGAAAAATTTTCGGTCATTTTAATACACTACAGGTACTTTGTCCATGGTTCGTTTTGTCGTACCAAAAAACCCTTGTATACCAATTTTCACTGTTATGCATCAAATATTGTTCGAAATATTTAAAAAAAACTATTTTAGAAAGTAAATTTAAACAGCGTGTATTTCGGAAGCCACGCATTTTTCGACCCATGTTTATATAGACTTTGTGCATTAATTTTAAAAATTCTATCGAATCTTAAAGTTATGCAACAATAAACTGAAACACCCTGTATATAATTTTTGCTGGAGAAGGGCTCACTTTTGACCAACTATCCTGGTCATATAAGTATTGTATACTTAACACATCGCAACAGCTTCCCGATTTTACAACTCTGATTTCAGTCCACACATTTTCGAATTGCACACCTCTTGTTGTGCTTAGAGTTACACAACACTGACTAGATTATTATGAATTGAAAAACGAGTTTTGCTGGTTTTCAGAAACTCTGAATCCTTCAGATAAAACTTGACTACGTCTTAAAATAAATCTAAAAACCAAATTGGACTATTTCTGATTTTCTCTCCTCTGAAGAATATAAAACCGTCAGAAACGAAAAAAACAAGATGAAGTCAAGTTTGTGGGAGTTTAGATTTTATAGTCATAATACTGGTACTATTAGACAGACCTTTCAAAATTTAGTCAAATTCAAAGATACTTTCCAGGTTATAGAGGGACTAGTGATTAATTCGTTAGACCTATCAGCAAGAACTATAAATTTTTTCAGTCAAATAGAGTGCCAAGGAGTACCTGGAAAACACCAAAAAAGATGTACCCATAGTGGGTTATATCCGAAAATCGTTATTTCATTTGAAGTATTTTCGTGATTACAGTATATCCTTGGCCTATTGACATGACCGAAAAAACGGGCCCCTTGAATTTTGAGAGGGATGTACATCCAAATAAAGCAGAAAGAGCATATAACTCATTCATCATATATCTCAAGTGTTGCTTCAAAGTATTTCAAACGAATTATTACTTAAAAACGCGTCACGCGCAATATTTACATAAAGGTTTCAGAAAAGTAATCCTAACAGAAGAAAGTCCCTTAATATTGGACAGCTGAATAATTTTGGATATTGCATTATCTCAAAACCTATAGACAGTTTGCTGTACTGGACGTTATTGGGAGGACCAATATGGAGAGAATTGGGTACAATTTGCTTCAGATGGTCACATGAAGACTGTGCTGGTGGTGATAAAAAAATCTTCCTTCTGCGATTTTTGTTTGGAAAAATAGGTTCCTAATATTGGGTAGGGTATCCAATTTCGGGAACCTTTTTGTTTTATTTGAAGGAGCGCTAACAAATAATCACAAAATTGAATTATGAAAAAGTATCCAAAATTAGGCGACGCCGACGTTCCTCTAGTTTTCCATAACTATTTTAAACTCTCAAATTATTGATAAGACATGGAAATTCAAATAGGAAGAGAAATATCAAGCATAGTAAAGTAGATATTACACTGGTCAACACTGGTTTTGCCACACGAACTTTGACAGCTAATTTTGTTTTATCAGTCTACCCTCATTATTACATGACAGCTGTCATATGTCTATTAGCCTCATATTTGTTGTGATACGGTAATACTCATAACTAGTACTACGGCAGTAAATTAACAGAAACGCTTACAAGTAAATCCTTATAAAAATATTTGTTGTTGAATTTGAACACTTTTTTGTGATTTATTAACCCTGTGAATATGTTGAGGAAGTGTAATAATGATCCTGAAACTCTTTTTGTTATGTCTGCGGAGAACTAACATTCAAAAAACAACGACGAAATTTTACGAATCTTGTGTTGGACTGTTATCACCAATGTTTTGGTTTTTCTGTCTCATGTCTGTTGCATAACGTGTGTGAAAAATTTAACTGACTGGAAGAAAGGTGCACGACCTATGTCGTTTGCTGTACCCATGATATGGACTAAACAGCGAGATCACGTTTCAGATTGCTATTTTTGTCTCACAGACATAAAAGGTATAAATTACAAGAAAAAAACCACAGTTATTTACCCTAACTTATCTCCGGCTATAAGACCAGTCTCTCATTGTAAAAAATTGCCAGAACTAATACCAGTTGCAACTACGTCTGTTGAGAACAATTCACAACCGTCCACTTCAGGTGAATGTGTTGACGAGGACGATGACTTTGAGTTAAAAGGAATTGTAAACGAGCCACATTTGATAACTCAAGGAGACCTAAATGATTTGGTTCGGGACTTAAATTTGTCAAAAAAGCAGTCAGAACTATTAGGATCACGTCTAAAAGAATGGAATTTGCTACATCATAATACAAAAGCTATTTTCGAAACCGTGATCAACACTTCAGAACGTATTTTTCTCAGGATGGAGATTTGGTGTTTTGCAATAACATAAATGAGATTATGAAAATGTTGGACATAGATTTTGATCTCTCTCAATGGCGTTTGTTCATTGATTCTTCGAAAGCAAGTATAAAAGCAGTGTTATTGCATAATGGAAATAAGCTTCCGTCTGTACATCTGGTCCATGCTGCAAATATGAAAGAAACCTATGAAAATATGAAACTTTTACTTGAAAAAATAAAGTACAGTACATATTCCTTCAAAATCTGCGGTGATCTTAAAGTTGTTGCACTATTACTTGGACTTCAGCTGGGTTATACAAAGTTTTGCTGCTCTTTATGTGAATGGGATAGCCGAGACAGAACTAATCACTATATAAAAAAAACATGGCCTACGCGTGCATCGTTAGTTCCTGGGCACAAAAACGTAAAGTATTTACCCCTTGTATAGCCAAATAATGTGCTTCTACCACCATTTCATATCAAATTAGGATTAATAAAAAATTTTGTGAAGGCAATGGATCGCAATGGGAGTGGATTTTTGTATCTAAAAGAAAAATTCCCTAAAATAAGTGATGCAAAGATAAAAGAGGGTATTTTTGTTGGCCCTCAAATTAGGGAGTTAATAAAAGATTCAAGATTTGAAGAAAAATTAAGCGATTTAGAAACATCTGCATGGAAGGCTTTTAAAAATGTTTCAAATTTTTTGGGTAACCGCAAGAGTGACAGCTACAGAGAGTTGGTTAGCGGGCTATTATTGTCATATCAAGCATTGGGTTGCAACATGTCACTTAAGATCCATTTTTTAGACTCGCACCTGGATTTTTTCCTGACAATTTAGGGGCTGTCAGCGACGAGCACGGTGAGAGGTTCCATCAGGACATTTCTAATATGGAAAAGCGGTACCAGGGCAAATGGAGCCCAAATATGTTAGCAGATTACTGCTGGACAATTAAAAGGGACCAACCAGAAGCTAAATATTCAAGAAAATCTTAGATTATTAAGTCATTTATATAAAAAAATAACTTTTGATTTACGAGATCTGTGTTTTTTTTTTTAATATTTTAAATTACTCAATAGAATAAAATCCTTGTCTAGCAAAATTTTTTTAACTGTTTATTTTTTCTTGCAATCACCAATTAAAGTAAAAAATATCAAAAAAGTCCGTGTGGCACGACAAAGTTAAAATTTTGTTGACCAGTGTTATTTGTGAAACTGCCACCAAAAAATTTTTTAAGCTGCCCTCTTCTCTGTTTTGGGTACGCCCTTGCTTAGAATCATTGAAAAGTTAAGAATTTTTTGGATTTGGTCGACTATTTCGATTCATCTGCAATATGATATGACAACAATACACAATTCAACCTGATTGACGTCATCATTTTCTCGAGTAGGTGGACTCACTGAATATCCAAAGGTGCTACTCACCAGCATCCACACACGATTCACAGTCAACATTGCGACATGCACTTCCTCGGTACTCGGTACTGATAAACGCAATCATAGTCATATATCTTTTATATATAGGTACTATTCCCCTAAAACTAGATCCGTGTTCGCCAATGCTAGACGCAGAGTACCATTCGATCCAATGCACTTGCATCGTTTCATTTGGACGATTGGAGGTGGTACGATGGCGTGCTGCCAGTACTTGTGAAAGGCTTTCTCTCTCTCACTCACAGAGAATCAAGATATGAGGAATAGTAAAAATTGAATAAAAAGATTTGAAGACATTTTTACTGAAATTCCGGAAACTTATCCTCAGGATTTCATGTTCATAGGAATCCAGAGGCTGTTTTAATCAAAACTACATATATACTAAGTGACGTATAAATCCGAACACCCAGTTTAAATGGTTTTATTTTAATAAAAGTTGCTGAATGTATTTTTTTATCTTACTGTAAATAACAAGTGAAAAAATTGTCAGCCTTATCAGTTGGACATTCCGGTTTTTATACTGCTTTTTTTTAATTCACTAACGCTCTAAAAATGAATATTTCAGCCGCAGTGAAGAATCAACGTTGGCAGATTTTGGTTCTTGACATCCTTTACGATCGGTTACGATGCCTAGAGTACGGAGACCTGTACGATTTCGTCAACTTAGTGAGTTTGATAGGGGCCGTATAGTGGGACTTCGGGAAGCTGGACTTTCTTTTCGGGCAATTGCAGTTAGAGTGCAAAAAAGTGTAGACACTGTGGTTGGGGGTTGTCAGGCATGGCTTCGAGAAGGCCGTACGCAAAGAGCAAGGGGCACTGGACGCCGCCGTGGAACAACAGACCGTGAAGATCGCCGCCTAAGATTATTGGCCTTAAGGGACCGTTTCTCCACTACCAGGTCCATTGCAAATGACTGGTTTGCAGAACACGGAAGTCCTATTGGCATGCGAAGTGTTTACCGACGAATGAGAAGTTTGGGCTTGTTTTCATACCGGCCACACTGGGTCCTCCCTTTAACTGGAGAACACCGACGTAATCGCCTTGAGTGGTGCAGACAACGGTCACTCTGGGATCAGGAATGGAACAGTATTGTCTTTAGTGACGAGTCTCGATTTTGTTTAGGCATGCACGATGGTCGTGCCAGGGTTAGAAGGCGACGTGGTGAAAGGAGGAATCCACAGTTTTTTGTTGAAAGACATGTTCATCACACTGTTGGAGTTATGGTTTGGGGTGCTATAGCTTATGGTTCCAGGTGACCTTTAATCTTCATCAGAGGTAACATGAACGCGCAGCGTTATATCCACGGAGTTCTAGAACCCCATCTTTTACCCTATCTTGACTCCCTGGCAGATCCAACTTTCCAACAAGATAATGCCCGACCACATGTTGCAAGAGTCACAATAGACTTCTTTCAACATAATGATGTCACATTGTTACCATGGCCATCAAGATCTCCCGACTTATCCCCAATTGAGCACGTATGGGATATGATGGGTAGGAGATTGCTCAATTTGCAACGTCCTCCTCAGACTCTAGAAGCACTTCGAGAGGAGTTGGTGGTTGCCTGGAATGATATACCACAGGAGGAGATTGACCACCTGATCAGAAGCATGCCTAGGCGCGTTGGAGAATGCGTAGCACATCAGGGTGCATCCACACATTATTAAAGGTCAAAGGGCTTTAAAGCAGTGCAATCATTTTGAAATTTTTATCATTTACTTATTATGCTTCATTAAATACTTATACAAAATTTTATTAAAATAAAACCATTTAAACTGGGTGTTCGGATTTATATGTCACTTATATATTTTTGTGAACATCCTATGGTTTTAAGTCAGCTACCATCAGATCTACTACTGCTCTTCCCGTGTGGTTTGGCAGCGTTTCCTTTATCGATAGGAGCGGTGCTTAGTACTTCCTGATTCCTACTAAAAACCCAAAGTATTACATAATAATGCCAAACAGACTCGTAAACTGTAGGTTCACTATACTGTAATTCTGCAATATCATACTCCATTCATGAGCCCATGTTGGTACTCATACGCATAAAAAAGGAATTTATTTACGAGCTTTTCTCCGATACCGATCGGTTATGTGACTAATCAATTTCTTTGGTATTTGATCTCGTTTCGAAGAATTGTACCTACATATATGGTATGGACTGTTGATTGATCAGTAGACTGATAGACACACTGTTCGACAATTTAAGAAAACCGTAGATCAATATAACTATACCATATCCATATCCAAGGCGTGTATCGTGCAATATTGTAAACATTCAATGAAAATCTTTATATATTACATATACAGGGTGATTTCGAAGTTGAGTCATTTATTTTAACAGTGAGTAGATCTGATCAAAAGAAATGCTTTTTTCCTTTAACATTTTTCTGCTAAAATTAAAGTAACAAAGGTATAGCCCTTTAGAAGTTTGAGTACCGCCCTGTCTCAATAATAATATTATGTGCTCGTGTTTGGCAACAACGGATATAATCCGCCTTATCGGTTCATCGCATCGGAAACAAAAAAGCGAAAGAATTTGAAACGATGTTTTTACTACAATGTACAATTTTATTCAGTTGTTTTCCGTCAATGTGTCAGTCGGTAACGCGTGAGTGAATAGTGGTGTTTGTTGCGTGGCTTAAACGAAATAAAAAATGCACATGTTTACGAAAATGCTGAACTTGTGGACATGATTCTTATTTACGGAGGGGTAGTCTTTATGCGAATCGGTTTCCCAATCGAGTGCAACCAACCCCTCGTGCCTTTGTTAATGTAGTACCGGTGCTCCAAGACCGCACGATCAAATACAGGTCCGCACTGAAATACTTGGCGGGAGGATACTTTATAAAACAAGGTAACATGTTTTTTAATTTTTATTTTTATTTTTACACACATATTTTGGTTTATCTTCCTTCTACAATCATTATCTGAAAATTAATGACTCAACTTCAAAGTAGAGTGATTCATTTAGACTTTTTTCAATTCTAAACAACACCCATAAAATGGAATTGGATGGCGGAATCTTTATTATGACCTGAAAGAACAATCTTTGACATTTATGTTTTGAAAATAATTTCATTTAAATGCTGCCCGCGACTACGCCGTAGTGGTCAATTCGGAAGGTCCAAATGTCGATCACTCTTTCTAGCATCGCGACCTGTATCTGCCGAATTACGCGACTAATGTTGGCTGCTTAGGCCCGTATCGTCAGTCTTCCCTACAATTGTAGGGCGCGTTTATGGCCTCCTTTATTGTCATACTCTTTTCTCTCCTTCAAAAATTTCTAGATTACACTCGTCACGTGTCAGCGTCAGCGCTCTCCTATTGTTAAGATATGTTTTCCTTTTAAATTGTAGGAAATTTCAGGCTGATAAAACATGATAAAACTCAAAAGCAAGCACAATTTGATGCAAATAGATGTTTGTGACATAACCTCAAAATAGAGCGCTGACACGGAGAAGAAGAAAACTATGACAATCAAGGAGGCCATAAACGCGCCCTACAATTGTAGGGACGACTGACGATACGGGCCTAAGTCTTGAATCGTAGCTGGCTTATCGACGAAGACTTTTGATTTAACATGACTCTAAAGAAAAAAGTTCAAGGGTGAGATATGGCACGATCTAGACAGCCAGTTGACCGGTCCAAAAACGCGAAACTATCTACTCACAAAATGATACCTCAATAAAGATATTGATTCGCACGCTGTGTGTGCCGTAACTCCGTCTTGCCGAAACCAAATGTCGCCGACATTACGGACTACAATTTCATACAACAAAAAGTCTGTTATCATAGTGCGATAACGCTCGCCATTGATGGTTACGTTCTGTCCGGCCTCATTTTTAAAAAAAGTAGGGGCCGATGAACAGTGTTTTTTGTCGCTGCAACGGTAGTTCAAAAGTCTCTTCGGGCTGCTTATCAGCCCAAATACGGCATTTTTGTTTATTCACATATCCATTTAGCCCAAAATGTGCTTTGTCACTAAACAAAATTCGACGATCTTCATTCAGCTGTTCCAGAGCCCATTGACTAAATTGAAGCGTACATTCAAGTCTTGTGGCTGCAATTCTTGTAAGCCTTCAGTCCAAGATTCTTTCGCAAAAATTCGCCAAGTTGCCGTATACGATATGCCCAAATGTTGAAATCGGCGTCGAATTGAGTGCTAACCGTCTTCAATCACACTCCGCTACAGCGGCAATATTATTCTCATTACGGGCTGGATGTGATTTATTTCGTCGCGTATCGTCCAGTAACGTACACTGACCCTCAAATTTGAGGATGGTATTGGCAATAACGGTCTCGAAAGGTCGATGATGCGCATCATTCGTTGCTCGAAGTGCACGAAAAGCATTTCTCACAGATCGCTGATTTTCGTGATATAGTTGGAGACGCTGCTGCAGTGTAAGTCTCGCAAACTATCAGCTTTTAGACTAAGCTATGTTTAGATCAATTCACATATCCTTGTGTCCTCAGGTTACACCCGTATCCGGATGTATGGGCATGTGTATCTACTTTTGTAGTTGCATATATGCATTCATTTCGAGCCTGATGAAGCCAACCAGCTGAAATACGTATCGCTCGGGTTACCTATTCTATTTTCTGCTCGTATCCACTTTCCTTCTTTTTGCGGATTTTTTATTTTCCTATTTTTTGTTATATATATATATATATATATATATATATATATATATATATATGTTGTCTTGCCATACATCAAAGAACTAACACCAAAATTGATCAGGCTGTATAATCCCTTTAATTGTCGTTTTGCTTGTAAATCAGTTCTCACAGTCAACAGTTTGTTGTCCAAAATGAAAGATAAGGTTCAGTTGCTTGATTCAACCAATACTGGCTATCGTATTAATTGCAACAACTGCAATTTAGTTTATATAGGCCAAACTTCAGGGTCGCGCAAAAGTGATGCCAGATTACATCCAGAAAGATGTGCTTTGGCGTCGCATACCAACAACACAGGTCACTCTATGAATTATGGCAGTATTGAGGTTCTTGATAAAGAAAAAAGACTCTCAAAACGTCTATTTTT